ATCGAAGAATTTCGTGCCGAGAAAATAATCAGGTCTCTAATGCCGATCTCCTTGCAACAAACTTTGACCGTTCGATCTGGTGTAAAATTGAAAAGGTACAGAGGCTGAATTGCATTATTAAAATGATATCGATAGGCCACACTTCATTAATGCCCTTTAAGACACGCTGTTACAAGCGTGGTAAATCCGTGTCCTTAAAACCTTGTTCATCACAAGACCATTCGTCGAGTCGTTCTATTTCATGACCTTGTTATCACGCGGTGCAACTGATTGGACGGACTAGAATGCAAGTTGAAGCGCGGTGCACTTCCTTGACGGGCCTGCTTTACAAAATGACAATTTCGGCTTTATCTTTTACAAATTCACGATGCCCAACCCCAATTTTTTTCTTGTAAAGTTGTTTTTTTTTTCTCAAAAGAATTTCTAATATAGACCAAAAAACCAATGACCACCGCACTATTCAATGCAGCCTAATTTGGTTACACGCGGCTTCCCGTTGTGAGAAATCCGAACTTCTCCAACAAACCACGACTTTTTACAGGCATGAAGGTGAAATTAATTATTGCGTGAAGGAATGTCTTTTTCGTTTCAACAAACGTTTATGCAATACGCTGGCTTGAGGGACCCCCGTTGTCATATTCCCGTGAATTTTAAGGAGGAAGCATTTGACAAGTCAAAACACCAGTCTTCGTCTTTTTCGCTCCTGAGTGGGACATTCGATTTGTTTACAAGAACATCGGCGTCTTCAGCCACACACACAGATTCAGGTACTTTTTCACTGTTTCTTTTTCTTTATGGCGTCATTTACCAACTTTGCGACCGTATAAAAATACAGGCCGCATAGCTATTTGAGTTTAATAATTTTGGGAGGTGGAATTGGGAATTCCCATCCACGCTTCCTAAAAACGTAACTAAAGCAATTTCCCTAATCGTTGTTTACCGTAACCTGCACCGCAACCTTTACCCATTCAGCCGCATTTGCACGAACATTGTTTAAAGTTGATTTAGATCAAATAAAAGACCCGTTTGGTAGCTCAAACGCTACTAAGGTCGGAATAATAAGGTGTTACCAACATTTCGCATCAAAGTTACCCAATTACTCAGTTTACTGCAGGCGCAAACTGCTCGGACTTGTGTCCGATCTGGAAGATTCGATGCCTTTCCGTGCAGGCCGTGTTTTGGTAAGCTGTTTTGATACCTAGCACGCAACGTATACGCAAACTTCAATCTACTTCCTTAATCCTGAAGATAGGTGGCGGAATTTCTTTGAGAAAAGAACCTACTCTTATTAAGGTGACATATTATTGCAAACTGCAGCCCGATCGGAGATAAGGGTCTTAGATTGCTCACGGTGGGACTGTGCAAAAACTGAAATTCTGTTATCTACACCTGATCTGCAAAATGAACGAATTTCATGATCTTATGCAACGTATTTAACGTTTTGCAAGCCTCTTTGGCTCGCCTTGTGTCCTGATAACTAATCAAAACACTCTTTGGCTGAATTGTGGTCGACTCTCGGCAGAAATTCAATCCAAAATTGTCGATGACCTCGCTCTCCTGACTATCCCATTTCTAGCCATCTCATTTGCAAACCCTTCGGATTCTCACGCACATCAGTTACCAAGCTATCAACACTGTAATCATTAAATCTTGTACTAAAACAGGGCAAAATTATTGTTCCTACAACTGCGTGTTCTCGTCAAGTTGTCGCCGGGAACAGGTTACTGTCTGAGGGAGGCTTCCTCTGGGTGTCACGTGTTTAGTTCGCGAGGATTATGTCACGAGCAGTGGTGTTTATCTGTGGGATTTCAAATCGCCACCTGATCATCACGGCTTCTTTACATACCTATTCGCAACAAAACACCGTTAAGCTCCCTACGTCGACACACCGAAGAAATCAAGTCCCTGAATTCACTGTGCTGATTTTTACATCGTTCGGACGAAATCTTAATTAAGTCGAGGCACAAAGTCATCCATAACGCGTCATGTACTCATGTCATTGTTCTGCGGAAATCGAAGTCAACGCTGTTGTTTTTCCAACCTGCCATGTGAGTGAAAGTTGTTGACCTTTTCCTGAATTCGAAAGATATAAATACAAATATAAAAGCTGCTAGCGACAGGTCACAAATCCATTTAGCTCCCGCATTCATTGCGTCGAGTGCGCGGCGCAAAGATGATTTTCATCTTTCAGAAGCTGCGCTCGTTCACGCTGTATTCTCTACTGGTTTTGATCTTCTGCTTGGGATGGATTTTAAGGGTGTTTCCTTTTTTCAAGCGTCTAATATCTAACGCAATCGATAGCATGCTCGGCCTGAAGATGTCACAAGATGATTATTGGGACACGATGTTCACGCGACAAATGCTAAAAGGATTGTGGAGATTCATTTTTTTGGACATCAACAAGAAGACAAAACTCGGTGCCAAGGCTTACAACTCTCCTCTGTTTTCCGTGGATGGCAAGAAGTGCTTTCGTCTGCTGGACACGTCAAAGTGCGGACGCCCCCTGGTCATAAATTTTGGGAGCTCAAGCTGACGACCATTTTTGACGAAACTGCGCGAGTTCGGCGAAATTGTTCGCGATTTTGCCGACATCGCAGATTTCGTCATAGTGTACATTGAGGAGGCACATCCCTCAGACGGCTGGGCATTTAAGGTTAGTTAATTTCGTTTTGCTACAAATAATTTTCCTCACAATTAAGTTAGAAAAGTTTTACATTCATAATGATACATTTTCCATCTGGTGCACATTTTTGACATCAAGAAAGCTGACGTAATCATATGCGAGTTGAATTTCGAAATTCGTCGATAAAGACATCCGGAGAACGTCACTCTTAATTTGTTGTTCCTGTTTCTGCTTACGTTAAAACGAAACGTAAAAGTTCCTGTCACCACAGGAATAGCTATAAAGTTTTGCCAGTACAAGCCGGACAACTGAAATTAATCTTTGCCGGCTTTAGCATCTCTGTATCAAATGTTAACTTTGCTCATACATGTAAATTAGTTTTACGAGGCACCCAATCGCTGGCAAGCGTATTTCTTACTTATATACGTTCCTCCTTGGCTTGCTCTGGTCTTACACGCATGTTTTCCTTGGGTCTTACTTAGAGCGACTTAAAATTTCTTAGATGCTAATATTTTGAAAAGGTATTTTCCATCGTCTAAATCTTCTTCCGAAGGGGCGATACGATCTAGTTATTTAAACCACCTCAAACCATTTCACGTCAAGAAGGGCGCTATTTTCTTTATTGTCCCCGACTCACCGTCAGTTAGGATTTTGAACTAATTATCGCTCTTCAAAAAGTCTTTTTAGACAATTCCGTTTTCGTTTCTGATTGGCTATCTAATACTCGTTTCATGATTTCATTTGTTCGTTTATCCGTACAAGATTGCCTAATTAGGTGTAGTTCAAGGCCAACACTTTGAAAACGAAATTACCTACAATCCAAACATTCACTAAAAGAAATCGATAACATTTTGTCGCGATCGAAGAGCATATTTCAATGTTTAATTATTCCGGTACAGTTTGCGATTTAACTATCGATTTCACTTGAGAATGACGCTCGTTACGTCTTCGCTTAGACCACCATGAAGAGTAAAGAACAAAAAGAATTTCATAACAATCTGAATGATAAAATAAACTTGATATGACAGAAGGTGGATTTTGTCCTTACAAACAAAAATCCGAACACGCCCATGTTACGATAATCTCTCGCTGCATGTGTCCCTGTGGGTCTGTAAAACCATGTTTAGTTTGTTTCATTTTCACAGCATCGAAACAAGTCCCCTTCACCTATTTCGCCTGACCTTGTTCTTTATCTAATAACGTTAAATTGAATTTATGCCCGCAACCCCCACGTTTTTTAGCATTTCGACATATATATGTGGGTGTAAATTGCTTATCTCGGTTTAACTTATTGGGATTAATGTGCTTTATTAGCCCAAAGTAAAGTTCAGAGTCAGATTTTTTTCTCTGTGTCTGTTGTGCTGAAGTCACTTTGCATGATGGTGAGATGACTTTCTCCCCTCCATTTTCTGAGATTTCCTTTTAGCATCTCGTTTGCAACTTTCTTTTGGGTTAATTTCTCTATTTTGATGCCCTGTTTGGGTGGCCTTTTGTAAGTAAAATAATTTCTCTTATTCTATCACGGTCGTTTGGTATTTGCATTTATTTGACATACAATCCGTTTTCAAACTCAACCGTTAGTTTAAAATTGGATGATTCTTTGGAAGCTGTGCAGTTGTTGGGCCACTTGAGTCAAGAAACTGTCTTTTTTCACCAAATATATTTCAGATACTTGCTCTTCTAAGACAGGTGCTCCAACAAGCTTTAAGAATTTGCATGACCATAAATTGCTACAGCATTGCAAAAACATAAGGCGCTTTAAAAGGACGATGATTGTAAACATGCAACAATAAAACAAAATCGGGTCACCAAAGGAAAATTAAGAAAAAGAAACAAAACAGCAATTGATAGTAATTTTTTCTCGTATATCAAAACAGGAGAAAATGTACAGTACTAATTGCACGATAATAAAATAATCCTTATTTTCCCGTTTATATCGCAAACAACAAAGAACCCCAAGATAAGCTTCAAAGAACGCGAAGGCAAATTAAAAAAAACTATTAAGTTTCGGCGACGAGAAGTAAGAGCGAAACAAAGAAAAACAAACAAGGAATTAAGGAAAAAAATAGCCGCAATCGGCTACAACTAGACTAGCAGACTTTTAATCCTAAGACATAATATAATTTCAAACCGCTCTAGTTTGATTTTCAGACAGAAAATGATGTTGCATGCAATGTATTTGTTTCACCTGTACTTAATCTGCAAGATATCCATCATCAAAGAAAATACACAGAAAAAAAGAAGCATTTTCAAGAATTTCTGTACTTTTGTCTTTTAAGACAACGTTTTCCGACCTACAAGGGGATCAGCAAAGTCTTAGATGCTCGAACTGCCTTGTTCAAACACAATATTGACGATAAAAAATATATATATATTTTCAGAGGAAGTGTTTGTCAAGTAATTACATGGTTTTCCCTAGGTGGTCCTTTAGAAAATAAGATGTTCAATAACATATTGAAACTCAAACGATTTCGGATAAAGTTAAAAATGCACAAGATAAAAATAGGTTTAAAAAATTAACTGAAGCACTTAACTATTCAAACTGTTACAACTACTGAAGACGTAAAAACTTCCTGATGTTGCGCCGCACATTTCATCATAGCAAGGGTTTTCTTGAAATCCCAACGTGAGGAAGGGATGTAAATTTCTTAATACGTACATCAATGACACTTTTCCTTTACTCCAATAACACATGTTGCTTTTCCAATTTCCTTNTTTCACCAAATATATTTCAGATACTTGCTCTTCTAAGACAGGTGCTCCAACAAGCTTTAAGAATTTGCATGACCATAAATTGCTACAGCATTGCAAAAACATAAGGCGCTTTAAAAGGACGATGATTGTAAACATGCAACAATAAAACAAAATCGGGTCACCAAAGGAAAATTAAGAAAAAGAAACAAAACAGCAATTGATAGTAATTTTTTCTCGTATATCAAAACAGGAGAAAATGTACAGTACTAATTGCACGATAATAAAATAATCTTTATTTTCCCGTTTATATCCCAAACAACAGAGAACCCCAGGATAAGCTTCAAAGAAAGCGAAGGCACCGATTATTAGCAAATTAAAAAAAAACTATTAAGTTCCGGCGACGAGAAGTAAGAGCAAAACAAAGAAAAACAAACAAGGAATTAAGGGAAAAAAATCGCCGCAATCGGCTGCAACTAGAGTAGCAGACTTTTAATCCTAAGACATAATATAATTTCAAACCGCTCTAGTTGGATTTTCAGACAGAAAATGATGTTGCATGCAATTATTTCTTTCGCCTGTACTTGATCTGCAAGATATCCATCATCAAAGAAAATAAACAGAAAAAAAGAAGCATTTTCAAGAATTTCTGTACTTTTGTCATTTGAGTAAGACAACGTTTTCCGACCTACAAGGGGATGAGCAAAGTCTTTGATGCTCGAACTGCCGAGTTCAAACGCAATATTGACGATAAAAAATATATATATTTTCAGAGGAAGTGCTTGTCAAGTAATTACATGGTTTTCCGTAGGGTGGTCCTTTAGAAAATAAGATGTTCAATAACATATTGAAACTCAAACGATTTCGGACAAAGTTGAAAATGCATAAGATAAAAATAGGTTTAAAAAAATTAACTGAAGCACTTAACTATTCAAACTGTTACAACTACTGAAGACGTAAAAACTTCCTGATGTTGCGCCGCACATTTCATCATAGCAAGGGTTTTCTTAAAACACTAACGTGAGGAAGGGATGTAAATTTCTTAATATGTACATCAATGACACCTTTTCCTTTACTCCAATAACACATGCTGCTTTTCCAATTTCCTTTCCCGCCCACCATCCCGTCTCTCTCTCTCTCCATGACCAGAGAGTTTGAAAAAGAGACAGTCTATCTCGCATTTTGTCATAGAGTAATAAGAATTATTCGTACCAAAATAGTTTGTGAATGACATATTTTAAGGGAGTTGCACCAAGAAATGCTATTTCTTTACTGAATCAGCTGTTAAAGAAAGATTGACGGGCAGAAATATGCGTTAGAGTTGCCAACATCAGATTATACACCCACTGAAAATTTAGCCATCCAAGCTCCTAGTAGTATTTCATGAAGTGAGGGATGAGTTTTCATGTCTAATTAAGAACAGAAATCTATTTCGGTCGGAGAAGATGGATAGAACCAAGAGATATATTCTCTTGATAGAACTTAAGTTGCAAGGTGAAACAATTAGGCAACGTTCATACTACGCAGGAGAAATTTGCAAACGCAGCTTTATTTCTACGGTTTGGCCTACCGTACCACTAATCCGTCACGAAAACGGAGCTTTTCAAAAACGCTCTTCGAACTTGAAAACCCCGGCTTTTCGTTTTCGTGTTGACGGAAAACATTTTGAAAACGGAGCTTCTCGAAAACGATGACGTCACGCGTTACGATAATCATGTGATTTTCTTCGAACACAAATCCAAAATGGCCGCTGATTGTTGCATTTTCAAATTCCTCCGGCGTAGTGAGTACGGAAAACATTTGATCCGTTTTCAGAGTGAAACCTCCGTTTTCAAATTCCTCCCGCGTAATGTGGATGAGGCTTTAGTTGTTTATCATGATCTATCAATTTGAAGTTGACTGATAAAATTAACCGCCCTCGCGAGTTTGCGAAGTTCACGTACCTTCTGCTCAAAGTGAGACGACCTGAATATAAATCGCTTAAGAAAATCTTAGGCAAACATCAGGCGTTTACATTTTTCAATTTTTATTTGGTTAAGTTCTAGGCGCGTCAATGGCCATAACTGTTTCAAGAAAAGGCTAACATCACGATACAACAGAAAATTTACAAAAAACAGGACAGTTAAACCGCTTACTGAAGGCCGTCGTTTAAGGGTTTAACAGTTAAAATAACAGAGATATACTGCGTATACACACTAAAATCTATTATAGTATAGTATATCATATTATATTATAAGACTTAACGTGCAAACGATATCAGCCTTATAATCCCTTCCGTCGAATTATGTCGTTCTAAGTTGGCGTCAAAACAGAGCATTGTCTTTGTTTTACCCGGCTACTTCAGTTTTGGAAATTTGTCAAATTCAAACGATCGAGAGAATTTACCTAAATTACGTTTTCGTTTTTGAATTTTTTGCAAATATCGTGTTTTCTTCGGCGTGTTCCCACTCTGAAAAAATATTGCGAAACGTGCACGATATCTAGGTCGTTGATGAAGTGTGTTTTTCCAAGCCGTACGCAATCTGCCAAGCCCACAGTGCACTGCGAACATCTCATGTTTGCCACGGGAACAGAGTAAGGTATACGGTCTCGCAATTGAGAACAACACAGAACCTTACTGCCACTTAGACATGGTCTTTACCTATTCACAAATTGATTCCTTCTCGAAGCAAGTTTATCGTCAGTCTGACAGTCATGAGAAAATTCGGTGTCTCTAGCGGGATTTTAGCTTCATAGTCGTACATGGCGTACTGTAGCGCCAAAATGTCGTCGGCATCGTCATAATAGAAAAATTCAGTCGCTCTCTGGCCCAGAACTCAGTGTTCATTATCGCAAATAGGCGTGCCTTTTCGCTATTTCAAAGTGGCTACTTTGAACCAGAAATGGAGTGTGCTCTATTTTATCACGAAGCGTGATTGAGTCTCGTTGCGCAGAAGAAAAGCTTCTGCTCTCCGATTGTAAATATGGGTTATCGGCCAAGCGTGAGGTCAAGATGGCTGGATATTGACTAAGTTCCTTATTGGGGGTGTTTAAAAAGAATGAGGCCAGTATCCAGCCATCTTGACCGAACAAGCTTGGTCAATAAAGGATTAATTATATGGAAGAAGAACCCTGTTTTCGTGCGGTACACAGCGGGTAATTCCGAGCTGGCACAATAGTCCCATCTTGCCCGCTCAGTTAGCCAATCGCATCGCTGGATTCGGTGCATCTTGCCAATTCACGGAGCTGGCCATAAATGAAGCTCTATATCTTAAGAAGTTTTGTTCTCAAAGCCAAGAGGCATTTGTTTCTAACAACCCGTGGAAAAGAGTCGATGCAAATTTGTCTGTAACCTTAGATTCAGAACGTGTTCCAGCAATTTCAATGTTTGCATTTTCTTTCAGAACAATTATAACATTCCCAGGCATCAAACCCAAGCAGACAGATGCGCGGCAGCTCAGCTACTTCTGTCCCACAATCCACCGTGCCCCGTAGCAGTGGACAGCATGCTGGACGCCGCCAACTTGGCGTATGGCGCAAGCCCTGAAAGGCTCTATATCATCCGGGACAATAGAATAGTGTATCAGGGAGGGCCTGGGCCTTTCGCGTACAACATCAAAGAAGTCAGAGTCTGGTTGGAGAACTACTCCGGACGGATTTTACATTGTGTACCAGAAGAATGAATTGAACAATGGCTCATATTGAGTGCAATAACTGAACTGAATAAGTCTTTCATGCCAATTAGGCGCAATTAAATTCATCCATTATACTTTAAAAGACGGGCAGTCCAAGAAAAGAGTGACGTTCTGGAAAAAATTAATTCGTCCAAGCAATTGATTCCAGACTATCATAGTTAACAGAGGGAAATGGTTATGAAGCCTGGCAAACTTCAAAAGAGCAACCAAAGATCACAAGGTTTATGTTGGGAGGTCTACGACCGTGTAAAAGCATTTGTCTTAGGCTCAGATACTATGCCAGTGAGTTAATTACATCACAGAAAGGTTACTATTGGTTTTTTGCTTGCACAGAAGTAAGCAACTAATGTGCTTTGTGCTTGGTGAAGGCCAAAATAAGCGAACAAAAAATAATTTTAACCCTTTTCATAACCATTTCCTTTGGATAACTATACCATGATCTTCTACAAATGATCCACAAATATGACGCGAGTGGTCGAAAGCACTCCAAAACTTGCCACGCGATCGTAAAGCATTGAGTTGCATTTGGCGCGCCTAGAGACCTTCAGAAGACGCGATTTCGCCCTGAACTGGCACTTTTTCCTTTGACAGCTTAAAAAATTTCAAAGATCTAAACATTCATTTCCTCTCCGTGACAGGGCTCTAACTCACTCCGATAAACACCCGGAGTTTGTTCTTAAACCAACACAAAGATTATCAGTTTGGTGTTTTAACCAAAAATAATGTACTTCGAAGATTAGATCGCTATTATAATGTATTTAGCTCGCGTGTGCAGAGGAATAGATATTTAAAGTATTCATCCCTTCACTAAAAATGTTTATCGCGAGTAGTGGCTTAAAATATTTAAGTGGCATCTTAAAAAGACAAAATACGGAAAAGGGAATTTTTCTAGTTATGTTGATAATCCGCCTGGAGTTATATTCAGGCTCCATATTAACCCGCTTTCATCGGAAGGGGAAAACTCCAAAATGTTAATCTGGAATCAAATCTAGAAATAATAATTTGTCCTTTAGTTGCAACGCCTCAAATGAATCTTAGAATAATTCGTACATATTATGCAAATCGAATATATTTAATTAAACCATGGAGGTAGCTCTTAGTCTTGTTTAGAAAACCTACGTCGAGTTGACATTATGAAGGCTTGGAAACTAAAGTGCTCAAGCATTGCTCCTTAGCCCGATGTTGGTCGACTTGATGTTTGATCTAGTTTAAATTAATACTCAAAGTTATAAAGAGCAGCAGTGAATGGACTAAGATTAAAAACAGTTATTAAATAATGAATTTTGACTAACTTCTTTATTGCTATTACCGCATTTCACTGCAAAATAGTTTGAATTTCAATATAAAATGGTAATATTCCCTAACCTTCAGATCGAAATATCTCGACTTAAGACTCACCCACGCCCTTCCCCGCCTCATTTTCAGTTGTTATCAAAGTTATTACAAAGTTAGGTCAGACTGAAAATGTCCATGATTAATGAATTTATCATTAAATTGTTGATTAGTTGGAAGAGAAACATCGTAAAGTAAATTTTACGAAAGAACTTCGACAAACGCGTATAATGTGTCCTCTTAAGAGAATCGGGAGGTAAAAAAATACAGTGTTTGTATGTGACAGGGACCATTACTAAGTGTCCACTCAAGGAAGGTGCTTGTTAGCGGAGACTCGACTAAAGGACCAAAGTTAGGCGATTGTTTTAAGTCCCTCATTTTCTCTTGTTTAAGGCTTATATTAACCCTGTGCGGTTGACGACGTCGTCACGTCAAATAATAACGCTACCCCATAAATGACTTCGAAAATAAAATCTGTGTATCAGAAATAAGAACAGCAGGCCAAAATTAGCAACACTGTAAAGTTCAACTCACCGCATTTAGGCTCCGTCCACACGTATCCGGATATTTTTGAATCCGCAACCTTTTTTTTTTGCGGATTCAAAAATTTTCCCGTCCACACTAGCAAAAATATCCGGATTCGCTGCATGCCGAATTCGCTGGATGCGTGTGGATGGAAGCCGTATCCGGAAAGAAAAAGTTGCGGATTCAAAAATATCCGGATACGTGTGGGCGGGGCCTTAGCAGTTATGCAGCAGCTTGAAACGACAGCAATGACAAACAGCAAATAGAATGAGCAGGAATGGGAAGCAGGGATGAGAGCCCTCGCGTCCCACCAATGTGGCCCGGGTTCAATTCCGGCCCGATGCCACATGTGAGTTGAGTTTGTTGTTGGTTCGCGCCTTGCTCCGAGGATCTTTCTACGGGTACGTACTCCGGTTTTCCTTACTCCACAAAAACCAACATCTCCAAATTCCAATTCGACCAGGATAGAAGACCTGCACGAAAACAAACTAATGCTGATGTGGCTTCCTCTCTCACCCCTCTCCACTTTTTCCACTCGCCTAAATTAAGAAAACGTTGTAAAGGTTAATTTATACTGAAGAGAAACTCTCCTGACTGAACCTCAGTGTAAAAGTATGTCCGATTTAATTTGGAATTTGTCATGGTAGATTCTGGGTTTGAGGAATATGGTGAGTACCATGCATTGGTCTTACTCGTTATCACAAAATTTCTCGTTCTATTCATGAGTCTTCTACACGTGGTTTAATTTGACAGTTAGACTGTGAACCGTTGTTTTCTATAAGCGAATTGTTAACTAAGTTCGAGCAGGGCGAAAAGGGTGTGTATTTCTTTTTTGCCTTAGTATCCGCTGTCGACACGTCTCTATGATATGTGTTTTAAATTCTTTTGTTAAACGTGTTGTCCAAAACAGCCTGATAAATCAGTTTCATGACATTGTACGTTTAATAGAACAGCAAGTGTGGGTGCTATGCTTAAAAAATTGGTTGCACGTTGTCAGTTTCTATTGACTCTGATATGTTAGCCGTAAGCCCTAACGACCATCGACTAGGGACTTCGCCTCTCGCAAACTATAAATGGATAGTCGAGTTTTCAGTCTTATTCGGAGTTTGACTGAGCTTGTAATTGAAAGTGAATATCAATCAGCAGTTTGTTTATGGTGCACGATCGTGATAACACTTCGACTACGAAATGTTTTACAAGGCCCTCTCTGTGAGACCTAATATAAACAAGCCCCGGGATTGATAATAGACGAAATACCCGGGTGGAGGGTTACTCCCTTATATGGGCTATATAGGTATGTGCGGCCCCAAAGGGTATGGTATTTTTTTTTTCTTTTTTTTGTGGAGGGAAGAAAACCGGAGAACCCGGAGAAAAAACCTCGGAGCAAGGACGAGAACCAAAACAAACTCAACCCACATGTGGCAGCCACGGTGGGAGGCGAGCGCTNTTGTGGAGGGAAGAAAACCGGAGAACCCGGAGAAAAAACCTCGGAGCAAGGACGAGAACCAAAACAAACTCAACCCACATGTGGCAGCCACGGTGGGAGGCGAGCGCTCTCACCACTGCGAGGTACTCCATCCCTGTTCCCCAGATATATTCAAGATATTTGTCCAATTAAACATGCAAAGTACGCGAGTGAACGCACCGCTCTAATCTTTGATTACTGCTAGTATCTAGTATTTATTTAAGATATTTGTCCCCTTTTTTTACGGTATGTTCATCGCTCGCCCACACTATCCAAAATGATAAAGCTCCGTTTATACAATAATATGGAAAACTGATCCACCACGAAAATGGGAATTCTGATGCTTCTTTAGTTTACTGACGCGGATTAATTTCGCCCATTTTCACTTTTAAAAACAGTTTTTTTTTAATTTTATTTTATTTTTATTTTTTAGGATTCGTACAAGTACAGGTGCTTAACAATAGGACATAAGTCCCCTACTTGGTTAATACACCCACACCCAACCCCCTAAAAAATATCCCGAAAAAACCCTCCCCTGACCCGACTAAACTACAAATCAAATAATCTAAATAACACAAATACAATCTAAAATATACTAATCAACATTAACAAGTACAGACAAAGAAAATATTAACACGGCGACACTTAGGACAAATTAATTTAAAAGAACGAAAATTGTCACCATCAAAAACATTTAAAAGTCTAGTAAAATAAAAAGACTTAAGTTTACTTTTAAAAGAGCTTATAGTGTCTGAATCCTTAATATTTTCAGGTAAACTGTTCCATATCAAAGTTATTCTGTTATTCCCTTATAAAAGGGAACGTTTTCGCCGATTTTGGCTAGCGATCAACTGCCTGGTACCTCTGATAGTGGCTTGCAGCACAAGGCACACTGGCCAAGAATAGATACGTTTTTATCTCAGGGTTGTAAATTAAAGAACTAATTAAAATGTCCTTGATAAACCCTAAGCTTGCATTTTTTTTTTTCTTTTTTTGAAAAGGCGTTTTTGGTGGGTAAGTATTGTGCAGGGAAAATAATTTTGCGTTCCAAAAATGTTTGAGTTTGTATTCACCCGGAAGCAAGAGGTTATGAACTGTTGATTCGAAGATATGTCATTTGTGTCTAGGTCGAGTCTAGGAATTTTTTTCCTGCGCACAAGAACACAACATGGCATAGCAACACAAAAAAAGTTGTATGGTTGTTGTAGAATGAACGTCTCGTCTCTAAATTTATTAATACACGACAATTACGTGAAAATATACAAATCATGCCCTTCATGATCACAGGAGGTTTACGATAAGAAGTTAGAGCTTTGCTGGTAACTAAATCATAAGCCTGTTGGCTTATATTCTTAATTCTCGATAATTCCGGAGCTTGGAGTTTGTTACCGGAAGGATTTCTGCGCCCAAGACTTTCACAGTGGGGCAGCTTTGCAGTAGTTTACTCAATCAATCGTTTTATAGCTTTGCTTGATGACGTTGTCAGAGCATATAATCGTCCTCTAGAACGCTCCCAATTTCACGTATTTGTATCACAATCCTTTAATTAGAAAAACCAAGAGAGATGAAGACTGAGAGAGTTAATCCACCATATAATCCTGATTCCCAGGGAAGTCGTTCTCGTGTTATTTTTGAATATGGTACCCAGTTCTTCCGTGGAGAATGTTGCACGCGCGTTGCGTGGGTGTTTTCGTGGAATATGAAAATGCGCGAAACGCCACTTGAGCAGTTCACGTGAGTAAAGAGTAAAATTCGTGTCATGATTGGTTAGTCCTATCCTCCTGGGATTTCTGAAGCTGGTACTAATCTAAAAATAACTTAAGAGGAATAATGAAAAAATAAGCATCAGTTGAAAGTTTGAATGTCTTTACTGCTTTCGGATAAAATTAACGGAGATGATTTGCAATCTCTCTTCCACTGATACCAAATTACAAGTTCTCCACGAGAAGCAATAATGACGGTAAAAAATTGTCATTAGTAACGGGAAGCAGAAGTGGTCCTCGCCACTGTGAACATTTTTTCAGATAACCTAAAAGCCTCGTCATTCTCGCTCAGAGAGTGGTCAAAATGAAATGAAAACCCTCTGAACCCAAGACTAGACGACCTCTCCAACGCCGAAGCCAGAAAAAAAATTGTGACAATGTCCATGAAAAAGTTATGAGGCAATGTCCATGGTCAAATTCTCTTCCTAGGTATTTAGGGTGTTTATGATAAGTAATTGTAATAGGACTAAGTGGAGTCCAATTCGGTCTGTAATCATACGAGTGATGACAAAATCGGACGACCGCGCAGCGGGAGTCCGATTTGTTTATTACGAGTATGATTACAGACCGAATCAATCTCGTTCCCAGAGCCCACGTGTCTTTTGGTCAGCGCCAAGACACGAAGCTCCGTGTCTCGGCGCTGACCAAAAGACACGTGGGCTCTGGGAACGAGATTGAGACCGAATTGGACGACCCGAAATTTTATTACCAATTAATCGTAAAAACTGCAATTTCCGAGAAAAGAATAGCCAAGTTATGAAACAAAGGGAAAATTTGCATTAAAAGACTGACAAAGGAGACGTAAATTGTTTAATGTCGCTCTAAAATTGGGATTGGCTGAGTACAACTTTGAAAGTGATTGGTTGATTTAAACTACAACTTTGAATGTGATTGGTTGATTTAAACTACAACTTTGAATGTGATTGGTTTATTCAATTGTCCGATAACAAACTGTCCGATAACAACTTGGCAAGTGAATTAGTGGAAAAAAGGAGTTTTTTTAAACCAATCACAATCGAGGACTGGAAATTTTATTTCTAAGTTAACAACAAAAACGAAAAAAATGACTCAGGCAAGTCTTTACAGACGCTTGTAATAGAAAAAGTAAGCACAGGCTCTCTACTCTAGAGGCCAACTTTTTAACAGCTAGACGTCTTGATAGAAAGCCTTAAACGTATATTTTGAGAACATTAAGTACTTGGTGTG